AATAAAGGTTCTTTATTGGCATTTATGGTTCCATGAAGAACCTTTTAACATCTGTGGAATCTTTCCAGCTAGATTATTCAAATGGTCCTCACGCTAGGAAAAAAAAGTTCTTAGTTCTTAGTTCTTAGTAGTATTAAGAACTGATTACTGAAAGGTTCTTTGGGGAACCACAAATGGTTCTTTTATTGCATCCAGTGAAAACTTTTATTTTTAACATCCATCACTCTTAATAGCTCTAAGCTCTTCATGCAACAATTTATGTCAATGAAGATCCTTTATTTTTAAGCGTTTGAGCTAAAGCGGCTCCTGTAACGTTCAGTTTGAGTTTCTGCAGGTTGATCTGATGGGGTTTCTGATGGTGGTTTTGCGTCTCATCGTCGGTGGAAAGTGCCGCAGGTGCCTCTGTGGTCACTGACGCGCTTCAGATGGATTATTCTTCTCAACGCGCTGCTAATAAACTTCCTTCCTGTGATGAAGAAGCTCTTACCGTGTAAGTGCTGTCGTCTCCTCGCTTGCGTCCCTGTGAAACACAGACATGTAGATCACAGGCTGCTGCTGTCCGTCATGTGATGTGATGTGATGTGTGTCAAGTTGTCATCACTCACCCCTCCAGATCGACCTTCTTCAGTCGATCGCTGCGTCAGTATGTCGTACGTCGACTGGCCGCTCTTGTTAATTGGCTGGAAAACATCAAACGCTCCGTTAACATCTTTAATATCGTGATCGTTGGCTCATTGATATCTCACGTAGGCTATCTGATTCTCACCTGATACAAAGAGTCTTGCTCCACTATACTTTTCTTCTTGATGTACTGAAGAAAGAAGCTTCATTAATGAACAGTACATTTTCATAGTTTTATATTTACATGTAATGCAGGGATTCACCGTTGTTGTTGTTTTTGTTGTTGTTGTTCTTGTGTTTTTTTTTGTTTTTTTTGTCATTTTCGGTTATAGTAGCTAAGTCAATATTTTTTTATTTGCATGTCTATGGGTTAATGGTCACATGACATGCAGCTAATAAAATACAATTATTTTTTTTTTATTTGTTTTTGTTTATTTTCCTTTTATATTTGTATGATTTAAATAATTTTTAGCTATTCATCAACTGATGAACCCCAGTTTGAGATTTTACTATTAGTATTTTATTATCAATAGGGTACAAGATTATCCTATTCAAATCAATGTGATAAATAAATTAGGATCAAAGTAATCAAAAAGTAGTGTGATTATTTACCTAAAATGTGTAATGTAACAGATTACATTGCTAACATGTAATTTGCAAACAGTAACAGACTACAGTTTGTAGGTAATCTACCATCACTATGAGTTTTAGGTTATTTTCACTCTGTAGTCAGTCTGGTATCTCTCATCTACGTAATTAAAACTGTGACTGTTGAGTGCATGGTCCAACATCATATTTCAGAATCACACACTAGAATACAGTTTACACTATTTCTGCCATATAACAGTAATAGTAAGAGTAGTAAGGTGAAATTCAGGGAGGGGGTGGTTGTTAAGTGCATCATCTGTGTATTTGAAGTGCACTTTTTGGGATCCTCATTAATCACATACTACAGATTAGCATATAATAGTGCAAGAGTGTATGAACTGGGCCGCAGCTCAGTGTGTGTGTGTGTGTGTGTGTGTGTGTGTGTGTGTGTG